ACGGATGCTGAGGAGCCACAAATAATACATTTCCATAACTTGTACAGATGCTAAAAGATTCAGAATTACTGAGTTGCAATATTTACGCTATATTTAAAGTGGTATGAGGGTGGCTGGTGTTTTAAGCATATTTTTCTGAGAGCCGATGAAGAAGAGAAAAAGCAAGTATATTTGCCCGAAAAATAGAAGGTCTGTTTAGATTTTGGTAGGTGGCAGTGGGATATAGGGGGAAACACTGGGGAAGGTGTTGAAGGAAAGGGCACAATCAAGAATGGTGCCAGTTTTCTGGTTTGGGGGCTTGAATTAATAGAGGTGCCATTTACTGAGATGGGAGCTACAATAGGAAATATCACAATTGGGAGTGGCGATAAGATGATCTCCATTGTGGGCACTTTCTATTCAATGAACCTATAGGACATTTTAGAGATGACACATATATAGTGAGCAGATGAAGATTTGGATACATGGTTTTGAAAATGTACTAAAAATAGAGAATATTGAGTCACAACTTTATTGATAGGAATTTAATTCTTGGAATTAGATGAGATTGCCTAGTGAGAGTGTAATGTAAGAAGAGAGCAAGATTTAGAACAGCCCATCATAGGTTTTTAAGAGACAGGCAGAGGTAGAGGAACCCATAAAGCTGAGAAAGTTTGACCTAAGTCGTAGGAGGAAATGCAAAATGACATTTATCTTCTCTACTTTGACTGATTTCATGTTATATTGAGTACGCTGGTTTTAGTGTGTATTAAAATCACCTGGGGTGCTTGCCAAAAAATTTGGTTTCCTAGACTCCCCCACAGAGATTCCTATATGGCAAGTGCAGAGTGGTAGCCCATTCTGTGTTAACAGGCATCCAAGATAATTCTAACATAGGGGATTCCTAAATTTAAACTTTGAGAAACACCTCTTTAGAAAACAGTGTGAAATGGCTGAAAAAGCAAGGCTTTAGAATCACTTTGCTAGGGTCCTGGCTTTTACTGTTTACTGTTTGTCTGACAGTGAGCAAATGGGTGAAAGTTTGTTTTCCTATCGGTGTTGGGAATATAGTATGTATCTTCTATTGCTTAGAATTATTATCGGGTATATATGAGATATGTTCTATTAAGTTCTTGACATATAGAAGCTCAGTAAATGTGAGTTGTCTTTTTGACAGCTTAAAAAAAAAACCCAGAACACAGCTGTAAACCTAAAAGCCACTGAAAAAGTAGTAGGAAATTGCTCTTATTAGCCTCATGCATTTTGTTTTGTAGGAGATCAGAGCGAACTGCTTTTTACCTTGAACCTACTGAATTAGGATTATGTAAAATTAAGTTACTGATATAATAGATTTCATTATTTAGTTTTTCCTGGCAGCCTTCAGTTCTGTAGATATTAAATTCAAACAGCATGATAGAGGTAAGGTTAAAGCGTGAAACAGAAGCTGAGAGAAATTTAATAGAGGAACAAATACCTCAAAAATTCTGAGGGCATCAATGTGTCACAATATAATAACTAATTAATACTCAAAATATTACTATATTAAGAAAACAACCTTATGTTTGAAAGACTTGTTTGAGAAGTTAGGAAAGTATATATTTTAGAAAGCTTTCCATCACAATGATTAACATTTTTAAAAGTTTGGCACTTAAAGGAATAAGTTTTGCTGTTTGTGAAGTTCACCTAGATAACATATTAGCCTTTCACAGTGCTGGGTAAATGGAATTTATAGTCTTATTTCCTATTTGATTGGCATTTTACTATTTTTGATAATTTTGCTAACAGGTATCCTTAAAACTATCCCAAAAAGCACTGTGGAACTAATCTATACGTAAATTCTTATGACTTACCATATAATGATGAAGTTTCTCTCTCCAGAAGAGAAACTAATGTGAAAGGAGAAGAGCAGTGTTGTCTTGTGGCCATGTCGGCCCATTTCATGTCTTGAAATTCTTGTCTTGTATTGGCTAATTGGAAATATGGCCACCTCATGGTTATCGTTCTGCAAAAGCTATTAGAAAGAGTTACGAGTTTCCTCTGTTCTCTTCAATCTTTCTGGCCCACACCCCTACCCAACTTGGATGTTTACATAATTGTTTATCCTCAAATACAATCAATCAGCTGAATAGGTCTAAATATTAGTATCTTTTTATTATTTTTACTTGGTTAAACAACAGCACCTTTTGTTCTGCAGAGTTAGGTCTTTGATGGAATGTTTTCTTTCGTTAGGTCTTTTTGGTTATTGGCATGTATTACTCTTCTTCCAGAAAACCCATTTTTCTTAAGTTTTATTTTTGTCAGCCCTCCATATTTATCATACTTCCCTTTGACCCTTCCCCCTCCCCTTATTCTTATTTTCTATCTGCTGAGTGAGCTTTTTAGGGTATATCTGATCTGATTTTCCACAACGTTAGTTCTACTTGTTATCACTTGTAATACATCATTTGTTTTGCTGCTGCATTTTCCACTTCCTTATACAGCCTATTTGTTCCTTATTTTGCCAGCTTCATTTTAATTTCTACTTGTCTCAGCCCTTTCTCTTTTTATATTACGTTGTTTTGTCTTTCATCTCTTTCAGAATCTGTGTTTACTCTTATAAAATATGCAAAGCAATTGACTAAAGTTTACTTCCATGTCTCCTATTTGCTTGTGCTTTCTACTTCTCAAGTGCTATGTTGTGTTTCTGTTTTACATAATATTTTTATGTCATCTGTATTTGCTGTTCCTCCTTTTACTTACCCTTGAACAAGTATATGTCTATACAGTCTGGGATGCTTACCTATAAATTGGATTGTGGCTTCTGTTTCTTTTCAGTAGAAGTTCTGATACATATCCCCACAGCATATTTCTAGGGGGTTTGGCTAAAATGAATCTGCTAGTCTAAGTTGAGGTTGCCTAATTTTGCTGCCTAATTGTCTTATTTCTAGATTATTAGATAATCTAGCCCAGAAAGATCTGTTCCCCTCAAGTCTTCATAACTAAGTCTTTGTAGTGCTGATTTTACATCTTCAGATATAGACTCCCACTCCTTAGGCATTTCCACCTCCATTTAAGTTACATTGATGAGAATTTTAGATGCAAATTGGAGGTAGAAGGCACAGGTTTTAGGTCAATGGACCCAGTGAGTGGAGCGATTGAATCCTTGCACAGCAAGGGAGCAGCTTTCCTCTAAATCTGGTCCCTGAAAATTCTCTTTCTTCTGGAGAGTTTAAGGAAATCTCTCAAAATTGTCCAGTATGGCTTTGATATTTTGCCTCACATTACTTCCACTTTTTGTAGAGAATATTAAGTTCCTTTTGTAATTTAGTAGATCATTGGGAAGGAGGTGTGAAAGGTCTGATAAGGCGTTCTAGTTTTTATCTCAGCAAACCTATAATGCTGTCTGGCTTGTTTCAAGTGTTCGGTATCAATTTGTCTAATGAGTGAGTGAATGATTTAGTCTTTTTTGAGAATTTTAGAAGAACCAACCATGCTTAACTATTTATTATTTTAATACTTTTTTCCCAATAGTTTCCTAGTTAGGTGTCTTACAAAATATATCCTGGGAGTACCAGATACATCCTAGGAGTACCATAAAATGTTCTGTGAAAAAAGGATTCCACGGACAAATAATTTTTGGAAATGCTACATACTAAATTTTTATTTTAGAAGTTTAATTAGTATGCAAATGTACTAAGGGCCCCAAGAAGGCCTAAACTAACAAACTGCTTAACTCTGTTTAATTCAGCAAAATGTTTCCCAAATTGATTTGATCACAGAAACCTACTAATATCTTTGAGAAACGCTGCTGTAATCTTTACATTTTTCACAAAAACTGTGCAGTACTTTAGAGTTTATTGTAGAATTTTTTTCATGAAATAAACTTTGATTGTTTCTTCAGACATTCGGAGAGATGTAAGTTATGACTAAATATGATTAGAGTTTCCCAGGAACTGGGATTTTTTTTTTCTCATTCGATATTTTGAACAAGATATGATCTCTATGATCTTTTAAAAATGCATGTTAGTTACTTCAGGCATTTAACTTGTGTCTTTAAGAAAAGGAGATAAATCTTTTATTGGTACACCGAACTGAGAAAGCACACGCCACAACATGAAAGCATTTCCGTATTTACCCCAAGCTCAGTAAAAGAGTTTGTCCCCACTCGTGGTTTTAATATTGTTTGTTAATATAGGAAATAAGCCTATATCTGTGCAATTTTTCTATCAAATGGTATGATTGGGTGAAGTAGGAATGCTAATTTTATTTTCAGTTTCAGAATATTAAGTACTTTGTTATATTCCCACTTTATTTGTCTTTAAAATAATATCTGATCAAAGCTCAGATGATTGTTTGCCTTCATCATGTGAGATTCAAATGTGCTTTACTCGTTCAACTGTTCACCGACTGGTTAAGAAACGTTCCGTCTTTTTTTGGTAACTAATGCTTCTGTACCTGCTTTACCGCTCTTCTCTATCCTTATAGTTTGTTTTACCTTCACATGTTTTTCGTAATTAGTAGTTTAGTTTTGGTTTGCTTTTTAAGTTTAGAGTTAGATTTGTACCAAGTTAGGGGACCTTTTTTTAATGAAAAGTTTTGTTTTAGAAGGTTCTTTTTAGTGGTGGTGTTGGGGAGGGGTAAGTGAAATGAGAATTTACTGTTAAGTAAATAAAGCCCATTAAGTTTTCAGCTGGACAGATTTTCCCTACTAAATCTGAAAGAGCCACAGTTTGTGGTGAGTTTGTCTAGCAAGTTCTAAGTTCTAGTTCCTGAATTTTCCCTACCCAAAAGTGTCATGTTTCCATACTTCCTTCTGAAAAAGACCACAATCTGCAGACCTCCTTCTTAAATCCAATCATTCCTAATACTTCCATGTTTCAGAATTAAAAATGATTTCTAAAAACATTATCTAACCATTGTATTACTAAAGCAATATGACCAAAAAATGTTATTTCCAAGAATTGACAAAGAAAATTTAAATAAAAGATAATTGAGCATTAATATGTAATAAATGAAATTCTAACTGGTTTTATCTTCTACAGACAAACAACAGAAAGGTGAATTCGCAATAGATGGCTACAGTGTCAGAATGAATAACACTCTAAGAAAGGATGGGAAGAAAGATTGCTGTTTTGAAATCTCTGCTCCTGATAAACGTATATATCAGGTTGTAGTTTTTATGTTGCCTTGAAATTAAGTTGATAAAATGTTTTGATTAATACTTTCCCTGACATGTTAACGGTAATAAAAATACTGCTGTTTAAATACATTATGAAGTGAATAGTCTAAGAGGAATTTTTTTTAAATTTCAGATTAGTTCAAACATTATCTTCTTGAAAATGATAAAGAGAATACATAATTTATCAGTTAGTTAACGTGTTGCATTTATATCTAATATAACTATGTGATCTTCTAAAAGAAATATATAGCAGAAAAAGTAAAATTATCAAAAGAAAAATATCAGAGTGATAATACATATTGTATTGCTAGGAGTGTGGGAGAAAATGAAGGTAAAGGTACATATCAGCTCTGCAATTCAAGAGCTATCAGCTAGGCATCAATGTGGAATGTATGTTTAATAAGTTTTAAATATCTGAGATTGCAGTTGAAAGCCAGTTAATTAAGTTGTCAGGTAGTGTGTTGGAATCTGACAAGAACATTTTTAAGAAAACTGTATCCAGCAGTCTAAAGAAATTCATGGGTGTCTTCTAATTGTCAAGGGCAAATTTTGCTCATCACTTCTGTCTTTGACATTGATGAAGAGAAGCAGCTTTTTTTCCTGCACAGCTGCCAGCTGCTGATCAGAGTTTCAAATTCATCATCCTCTGCTTCAATTACATAAATTTGTCAAAATTAACTGTACATTATAAGAAGCATCCTTGCAAGAAAAGTTCCCATAGACATGAAAAGAATTACTAATAGTCTTAAGGAAATGCTAAGAACAACATACCTTTCATTTCTACCGTGGTGATTTTCATTTTTATTGTTTGTTTTTTATTAGTTTACAGCCGCTTCTCCGAAAGATGCTGAGGAATGGGTACAGCAGCTGAAATTTGTATTGCAAGGTAAGAGAAATCAATTGTACAAGTTATCACAGTCGTCAAATACTAAATAACTGAGTAGTTTGGGTTTTCATATACAAAGCTTACTGACTTCTATGAGAATGACCACATGAATGTGACTGCTGTTAATACAGACACACTCACTTCAGCTTTCAAAAAGCATCTTTTCTATAAGTACCAATTCGCTTACTTTAAAATTCACATATTTACAAAACAATTTTTAAACATGTTTTTAGTTAAGGATAACACATAGCAGTATTGTTACTTTGTAGGGCTGCATTTTTATGAATTATAGTTTTTAAAATATCTTCTGCATTCTTTTAAAATTTACTTCATGAAATGTATTTTATAGATATGGAATCTGATATTATTCCTGAGGATTATGATGAGAGAGGAGACTTATATGATGATGTTGATCATCCTCTACCAATAAACAATCCACCAACAAGCAGTCAACCAATAGATGAGGAAATTTATGAAGAACTTCCAGGTATTTACTTTCTGATGATTCATTTAAAGATTTTAGGGGTGTGTGTGTGTGTATGTGTGATTTTTCCTCAGATTGACAATTTGAGTAGAAAATGGTGAGCTATTGAGAACAAGGACAAAGAATATCTTCAAAACTATTTTACAAAAGGGGTTCTGCTTGAGATATTTGAAGTGAGTAGATGTAACTTATGAAAAGCGAATGAAACATTAAAATGAAGCAGATACAATCCTAATCTCTTGGGACTTTTGGCTTATTAGCATTGTTAATGCTACATAATTTTTTAATTAAAAAATTGACTTGCCTTACAGTTTTTTCCACCAACTCACACATTGTTTTTTATTTTACATCTTGGAACTTCCATTAACCAGAAGTTCTATGCATACCCCATATGTCATCAACTTCTGCCTCATATTTCTCTTCGTTTATAGTATATTGCATTGTCTTAGAGGAATGTTGTTGAACTACAAACAAAGGCCTTCTGAGGCTTCATGTTTTCCTGTTGCTATTTTAGCATCAATATGAAATAAAAAAGTTTTCTTATTCCAAATACTCAGGCCTAGTTTAGTGTTTACATGCCTTAGTGTCTGTTACATAACATAAAATTAATTATCTGTTAGCTAATTGTGGTCATAAGGATCAATCCAAAATAAAAAGAAATTTAGGAAACATGAAAACATTCAGGAAATTGTTATATTACTAATACTCTAGGTTGAAATGAGCTTTTCTGGCTATTAAAAAATCAGTAATTAGAGAGGAAAAAGGTATGATAAGCAGTATATGCAAGATTTAACTAGTACATCTCATGTAGAGAAGCCATTTTTCTCTGAATAGAACAATTTAATGATACAATGTAAACCTTTAAAATTGATTTCAAAAATACTTAAAATGTTCTAAATTAACATACAAATGTCATTTTCAGTACTATAAAGCATAATAACAAGAGTATGGATATTAGAGTAAAAAAAATTTAAATTCTGGCTGTGCCATAACTGACTTTATAAGTTAATTTCTTCATTTATAAAATGGAAATAATATTATTGGGAAGGGTAGGTGAAGTGATTTATCGAAGGCTCTCAGCACAGTGCTTGATCATAGCGAGCCCACGATTATTTGTAACATCACTGTCATTTTTGTTTTTATTACTGTATCTGGTGAATTCTTCCAAGTACTTATGTGGTGGTACAATAATGGTTTTCTAACCAAGTAAAAGTTAATAATTTTAACAGTATTATAAACTTAAGATATAAAAACTACATATGCATCTACATACCGTCTTTTACTACCCCAGACGATTAGTATAAAAGTGTAATTTTATGAGGAATAGTGATCTGTGTATTTCAGTTATTTAGTGGAACTACATGTTTATTAAGCCCTTCCTTTCTGGTTTGCCCTAAGGAAATGACATCTTCTGTAGCATCAGTTATCCTCAAGTAGGGAAGAATATTCCCTGGCTGCTTGTTTTTAGTCATACCATATCATTAATACAATTATTTTAGTCTTTAAGATGTTTAAAAGAACTTGTGACAATGTATACTCATAAAATGGAAGCATGGAGTACCTTTAAACATGATATTACTGTCATTATATCCTTTTAAAACCCTGCAATAAATGGGTTACATTATAATTGTTGAATTAACTGTTCAAGTTCTGTATTTTTTTCAACTTGGCTATTCTCTCCCCACCACTAAAGAAAAAACAAATTGATCAGGAATAAAGACCAAATATTCATAGTTATTTTCATAACCAAGACCTAAGGAAGATCTGCTATAAGTAGCTTGAAATTTTAAAAATATGAAACATCTTTTATTTTCTCTTAATCCAGATATTTTTCTTCATTCTGTTCCCCCATCCTCCACATAATTGTTGGAAGTAACTGGTTACTCTTTAAGTAGTGTTACTTCTTGCTGTGGTCCTGGGAGAAATTTAAGCTGCTCTGGGATTTCTTTGTCCCTGCTTGGGATCCCCAGTTGCTGTGCAAAGTGATTGAGCTTGATAGAGCCTGCAGCTGTGCCCCTGGGAAGCAAACTGTTGCAGGCAGCTGTGGAATGTCTAGTTCTTCTTTCTTCCCCAGTGTAACTGAGAGCTGCTTCCACATCTGCACAGTTCAGCAAGTTTGTCAAGTTTGTGCCAGCAGCTACAGAAGGGATTTTTCTAGCAAAGGCCCTAAAGGTGTCTCAGAGTTAGAGGTTTTGTTTGATTAAATATCTAAAACTAGGAAGGTAACTTTTTTAATTTAAAAAATTGTCTCCCAGGACAAGAATTAAGCCTATTGCTTTCACTTTTGTGAAATTTGAGTATACTTTTGATAGAGGAGTTCGAAAAATGGAAAAGCAGTAAGTACATTTACATACTGTTGATATTTTTCCAGTTCTGTACAAAGAACTATGTATCTCTGATATCTGACTGGCTAAATTCCCAGAATTAAATAATACTACAATTTCAACACAATTTTCTGTCAATTACACATTGTTGAAAACAAATCCTCTTAGTTGAAAGATGAGGTATGATGAAGTATACAAATGTATTTGAAGAAAAATCTAGGTGTTTAGCATGCTACTTTAAATCACAAAGCTCTTTTTTTGAGAAAGGAAAGCTCTTTCTCTAGTAAGTGTATTAAAAAAAAAAAAAAACTATGAAATAAACCTGCAGTGTTTTCAGTTTCAAGAATAATAATAAGAAAACATTGTGTTAAAAATTACATTGGGCCAGGCACAGTGGCTTATGCCTGTAATCCAAGCACTTTGGGAGGTCGAGGTGGGTGGATCACTTGAGGTCAGGAGTTCAAAACCAGCCTGGCCAACATGGTAAAACCCCATCTCTACTAAAAATACAAAAAATATTAGCTGGGCATGGTGGTGGGTGCCTGTAATCTCAGCTATTCAGGGGGCTGAGCCAGGAGGATCACTTGAACCCAGGAGGCAGAAGTTGCAGTGAGCCAAGATCAAGCCACTGTATCCCAGCCTGGGCAACCGAGTAAGACTCTGTCTCCAAAAAAAAAAAAAATTGCATTGCAAAATATCCCTTGAAACATGTTTATAATTCAACAGGAATCTAAATTGTTTCATTGTAATTGTTTTTCAGTTAGAATATTCAAACTTTATTGCAGTACCTTCTCTTTAATTTCTTGTTCATTTATTTTTAACTAACTTCGTAAAAGAATAGTAATAAATTTGTAAGACTTCTTTGTATTTAGGGGATATATACATATGTACAAAAGAGTTGTGAGAATGCCATTTCTGAGGAGTATTAAAAGTATTTGGCTTTTCTCCAAATATCCTAATGGTTTTACATCTTTTATGTCTTAATGTTTATTAGCATAGGCCAGTCATGTTTGCTTACATTGTAATATTATAGCATCTTTGTGTTTGTGCAGCTAATATATTGATCAAAGTGTGTTAAACTGTTTCATAACATGGTAATGAGTTCATCTGCCTTAGCACAGATTTGTAAATTTATTGCTCACTTTTTCATTAGAGATACAGAGGAGTGTCTTTGTCTCATTTTGAATCTCTAAAGGGGAAAATAATACTTGGGAAATTGCTGCAGAAACCAGCCCTCTTTGCTCTTCGCTTGTACTTACCATGTCACTTGATTTGTTTTCTTTAGCGGCAGCAAGTTGTGCAGAAACAACAACAACAAAAAGATTTTTCTAGATCTAAACTGAATAGAATCCAGCCTAGTAACAAAAATGGTAGCCATTCATTAACCTATTAAATCTGTAGCTTTCAGAGGAATTGCACTTGAAATGTCTTCTGGCAAGTGGACTGGAGGAGAGAGGGCAACATAAAACAGGAAGACAAATTTCTATTCCATTAACCTATTTTTTTTAAGTGTGAATTCATTTTTTTTTTTAATTACAATGACAGATTGAACTATTCTGAGTCAGAAAAGGATATTTTTATCCTTTGGCTATTCAATTACATTTTAAATTTATTCAGTCCAACTATCTGCATCCGAAATGGAACATAAAGTAAAATGCAGCTATAAATTTTTTTCCATGAGACTATTATATATATATATATATATATATATATATATATATATATATATATAAAAGAACAATGTTTGGGTACTTTAATTTGAAGTAGTTTACAGCAAATGGACACAAATGCTAATTTAATCAATAAGTGGTTACAGGCCCCCAAAATACATTTTGGCTTTATTTTTCTCCTGAATAATTAGCACTCATACTATTAAGTTAATATCAAGGTGACAGGGGACCCTGCAGTCTCTGGCATTAACATTGTTTTAAGTGATTGATGGTAGATCCTAACTTCACCAATTTTTCTCCTTTCTTCTTTGGAATGCAATGGAAAGATGTCAATTAACTTTCACAGAACCACATATATTCAGTATTTTAATATCATTAGTCTAGGCAGCCTGCTAACATTTTTTCTTAAACTATGGTGCTGAATTGCAAAGTTATCAATGTGGTAATATTGTGGGAATAGTTTTTCCCAAGTAGATAACTAGATTAGAGTTAAATTTTTGGATGGTGATATGGTTTGGCTATGTCCCCCCCGAAATCTCATCTTGAATTGTAGTACCCGTATTATCTCCACCATGTCCTGGGAGGGACAAGGTGGAGATAAATGAGTCATGGGGGTGGTGTCCCCGATCCTGTTCTCGTGATAGTTCTCACAAGATCTGATGGTTTTAAAAGGGGCTTCCCCCTTCACTGGGCACTCTTTCTTCTCCTTCATACTGCCATGTGAAGGAGGACATGTTTGCTTCCCCTTCCACCATGATTATAAGTTTCTTCAGGCCTCCCGAACCATGCTGAACTGTGAGTCAGTTAAATCTCTTTGCTTTATAAAATAACCAGTCTTGGGTGTGTCTTTATTAGCAGTGTGAGAACAGACTAATATAGATGGTTTTAGCTCTAAACTCTGCTGAGAGGGTTATCTGAAGTTATAAAAAAAAATGAAATCATTTATAAAATAGGGTCACTAAACACATATAATGATTATTTTTATCTTTGCTGAACAAAAATGTGTCTT